TCAGGAACTAGCAGCATGGAACAGAGATGGGGAGCAGCCTCGGACAGGAAAGCAAGCTCAAACTGGCGGTCCTCCAGGACGTCACTGCCGAGGGCAGGAGCACCCCCGACAGACGGAGGACAGGCAGGGTCAGAGACCAGAGCGGAGGCGTAGTCAAGGCGGCGGGTAGAGGCGAAGTCAGCGACCGCAGCGACAAGGGCGTCAAGACTCGACACTGGAACAGACGGGTCGGTAACGAGAGAGGCAAGGACCCGAGGAACAAGAGGACGAGCGGCACGAAAGTAGTCAGACAGAGGAGGAGACGCAACGACAAGAGAGGACGGAGGAGGAGACGGGAGGAGGGGAGGACGAGACGCGTGGGAGCGGAGCAACATAGGGTGAGTGCGCGGGACGGGGGATACAGGACGTGCACGGGAGGGGCGGCGAGACCAGACGTGAGAGGGCGGCGTCGGGTCGGGAGACAGAGGAGGGGACACGGGTGGGGAACGAGGGGGAAAACGAGCCGGGGACGAGTCCGGCGGAGGGAACACGGGGCCGTAGACGGGAAGAGGGGGAGACGGCCAGAGAGGAACAGGCGCAGGGTCAGGGGACGGAAGGCCGAGCAGACGGAGGGCGGACACCGGCGGGGACTGCTGCTGCGGCGACACAACACCAACGCCAGGGCCACAAGCTGCGCGACTGCTACCTCCCGAACCCTCCACACCGGCACCTCCAGAAGGGACACCCCCAGAGCCCGAAACACCGCCAGCACCGGTACCACCCCCAGGCCCGCGGGGACAAGCCACGACAGGAGCCCCGGGACGAGTACCCACCTCAACTCCAGCACCCCCAGAGTCCACAAACTCGCCACCCCGGTCGGAGTGGAGGCGCAAGGCAGGGAGACCGCGGTGGAGACGAGCAGAGACAAGCCAGGGGATGAGAACGTCAGGCACGTCGGCCTTCCGCTCCAGGGGAAAGACGGTGGTGTAACGTGTGAAGTCGTCGACAAGCACTAGGAAGAAGCGCTCGCGACGCGGCCCATGGACCAGGGCTGGGCCCCAGACGTCCATGTGCAGAGTTTGCAGGGGTGCGGTGGTAGGGGGAAAAGAGGAGGAGTGAGGGGCACGGCGGAGCCGGCCCTCGACACAAGGCGTGCACGGTGGGGCGGGGGATGAGGGAAACTCAGGGAACGAACCGGGGAGACCAAGGACGAGACCGTGCTGGGACATGTGACGCAGACGCGGGAGTGCAGGGTGACCAAGGCGGTGGTGCCAAAGGAGAGTCGGATGAGTGAGGGACCGACAGGAGCACGCAGCAGCAACCTGGGTGGACGCAGCTACCTGGGGGGAAGACCCAGCCGGGGACGTCGCGGTGTCAAGTGTGAACAGGCCGGACACCGGGTCCCGGGGGAAAGTGGTAAGGGGGGCACCAGTGGCGGCCTCGGTACAGACAGCATACCGCTCGTGACCAGGGAACGTAGTGGTGACGACAAGGTCCTGGAGGCAGCCGACACCAACTAGGTTCCTGGAGAACGAGGGGATATGCAGACCGGTGAGCGAACCTGAAGGAACCGCCGGACAGGGAAGGGAGGTGGAACTGCGGGCAAAGACGGGACCACCGGAGGGGTCAGCAAGAGTAACTGCAGCAGGAACAGGCAGCGGCGTCAGCGTCGTGGAGTCGCGGAAGAAACACCGGGAGGCGCCAGAGTCCAAGGTGAAGGAAAGCGCAGCAGTCGCGCGGGGCGACAGTGAAGCGGTGGAAGCACCGAGGCTAAGCAAAGCAGGAGATCCTACGCCTGACGCAGCAGGGGAGTCTACGCTAGGCACAGCTACACTAGGCAACACGGGGTAATAAGAGGGAAGCACACTAGAGTCATCGGCATACATCACATGCAAGGCTGCTACAATGGCATCCATGTCCAAGTCAAAAATCCGAATGCTACGCCTAAGCAAGCTGTGCCAGTCCGGGAGGTCGGGCGCCGGGCCAAAGCGCTGGCGGAACAGGTCGTCCAGACGACGAAAACAGCGAGGAGTGGAATGACCGATCTTACCGCAAACGAAGCCGCGGCGAGGACCGGTCTGGATCTGGTACTGACAGGGCCCGCCTCCAGAACCACCACCCGGTGCACCACCACGCGCACGACCACCACCAGCTCCAGGCCACCCAAGCGGGAGAGCACTCGCTGGCCTCGTCTGCGGCGGCTGCTGCGGAGGCTGCTGCTGCTGCGGCTGCTGCAACGGTGGAGGCAGCGGGGCAGCTGGACCGGGCAGGGTCCCCACGTCCGCACCGGCACCGGACGACCCGCCTCCACCACTACCCCCACCCGCACCCCCGCCACCTCCGCCGCTCCCAACCTTGGGGCGGCGACCCTTCCCCGAGCGGGACTGCACTGCAGCAGCAGTCTCAGCCACAGCGACAGAGCCGGCGGAGAAGGTACACTGAGCGGGGGCACAACCCTGAAAGATAGGGACCGGTACTGTACCGCTCGCCTGGGCTATGGAGCGGTGACGAGTCTCTATGGCAGTCAGGGTGTCAACAAAGTCGGTGAGGGTGAGAGCAGCAGGGTGGATGCTAAGGAACTGGTCGCGGGCGGCGGCAAGGCGGTCAGGGAGGCGGGTGGCAAGGAGGTAGAGGGTAGAGGTCATGGGAGGCTGGTGGACTCTAAGCTGTGCATCAGTGCAGGCAGCGCGCCAGGCCTCATCTATCGAGCGCAGGTGGGCAGCGAGGTCAGAGACAGTGGGGAAGGACGCCAGGTCAGGAAAGAGCAGGGGGAGGATCAGGCGACCCACTGAGGCAGCAGGAGGGGTAGAATAGCGCTTGATGACAGCATCGAGGTAGGCCTGGGCGGTAGTAATGGTTCTAAAGCGAGGGCGCTCAAGGGGGGGGAGGGCATTGCTAATGGCGAGCTGAGCAAGGGCATCGCGGGAAAGCCAGACAGAGCGGGCAAGGGCAGCGGCGGCAGTGGACTCGCGCTCAGCGGGCGTGGGATCAGCAGGCAGCACAGCAGGGGGGTCAGGGCAGGGGAGCATACCGTCCAGGTGTGCAGAAAGCGGGTGGCCGTCCTGCCGCTGACCAGTGAGGTGGCGGCGAAGGTCAGCCAACCACGCCTCGAACTCCAGAGGCTGACCCTCAGCATCAAAACGAAGCTCAGCAGCCATGAGGGGCAGTGGAGGACAGTGGAGTGCGGTGTAGTGCTGTGCAGTGCGGTGCAGGGCGGTGCAGTGCGGTCCAGTGCGGTGCAGTGCGATGCAGTGCGGTGCAGTGCGGTTCAGTGCGGTGCAGTGCGGTCAGTGCGGTTCAGTGAGGTGCAATGCGGTGCAAGGCGGGGCAGGAAAGTGCAGGAGGGTGCAAAGTGGTGCGGGGAACGGGGGACAGTACCAGGAAGTATGGAGGGCCGGGGCAGGCGCGACGGGGCCGGGCAGGCGCGACGGGGCCGGGCAGGCACGTCGAGGCCAGGCAGGCGCGACGGGGCCGGGCAGGCGCGACGAGGGGCCGGGCGGCTGCGACGGGGCCGGGCGGCAGCGACGAGGCCGGGCGGCTGCGACGGGGCCGGGCGGCTGCGACGGGGCCGGGCGGCTGCGACGGGGCCGGGCGGCAGCGACAAGGCCGGGCGGCAGCTACGAGGCTGGGCGGCAGCGACAGGGCCGGGCGGCAGCTACGAGGCCGGGCGGCAGCGACAGGGCCGGGCGGCAGCGACGGGGCCGGGCAGGACACAGCAGGGCCGGGCGGGGGCGACGGGGCCGGGCGGGCGCGACGGGGCCGGGCAGGTGCGACAGGGGCCGGGCAGCTGCGACAGGGGCAGGGCGGGCGCCACGGGGCCGAGAGGCCGCGACAGGGCCGAGCTGGGGCGACGGGGCCGAGCAGGGGCGACGGGGCCGAGCAGGGGCGACGGGGCCCAGGAGGGTGGATACAGGGCCCAGGGAGGAGCGCGGCAGGGCCCAGGAGGGGCGCAACAGGCCCAGGAGGGGCGCTACGGGCCCAGGAGGGGCGCAATGGGGGCCCAGGAGGGGCGCGGCGGGGCCCAGGAGGGGCGCAATGGGGGGCCCAGGAGGGGCGCTTCGGGCCCAGGAGGGGCACTACGGGCCTAGGAGGGGCGCGACGGGGCCTGGGAGGGGCACGACGGGGCCCAGGAGGGGCGCTACAGGGCCCAGGGAGGGCGCGACGGGTCCCAGTAGGGGCGCTACGGAGCCCAGGAGGGGCGCGACGGGGCCTGGGAGGGGCGTTACGAAGCCCAGGAGGGGCGCTACGAAGCCCAGGAAGGGCGCGACGAGGCCCAGGAGGGGCGCTACGGGGCGCTACGGGGCCTGTGAGGAGCGCGACGGGGCCCAGGAGGGGTGCTAAGGGGCGCGACGGGGCCCTGGAGGGGCGCTACGGGGCCCAGGAGGGGCGCGAAGGGGCGCGACGGGGCCCTGGAGGGGCGCTACGGGGCCCAGGAGGGGCGCTAGGGGGCGCGACGGGGCCCTGGAGGGGCGCTACAGAGCCCTGGAGGGGCGCGACGGGGGCCTGGAGGGGCGTTACGAAGCCCTGGAAGGGGGGCGCGACGGGGCCTGGAGGGGCGCTACGAGGCCCTGGAAGGGGCGCGACGGGGCTAGGGGGAGGGGTCGCGACTGGGCTCAGGAGGGGCGAGGCGAGGCTAGGAGACGCGACGGGAGGAGCGGAAGCGGTAGGTGGGGGGGGGGGGGGGGGGGGGGGGGGTCGAAACCTACTCGTGATACCATATCAAACCTAGAATTTAATAATGTGAGAGAGAGAGTACACAAACATATACCTAAATGTTGTACTCTCTAGAAGGTGACCCTATACAGTCTATACGAACATGATAACTACACATGTTTGACACACATGTTTGACAGCGCACGAGTCTGGGAAGAGGTTGGCTGGGAAGAGGCCACAGGAACACGCTCTATAACGAATCGTGGGGCGTGGTGTGATGTGAACTCTGAAAATACAAGATTTCGACTCGGGCGCAGGATTCGGAATTGACATTCTGAACCCTGAGTATTTCACACTCGTTGACTCTTGGACACTGTTAGAGTATGAGAATAACAAGAATAGATGAGAACAGGGGAGATATAGGGTTGGAGTTGTACCCTCTAAGAACATACACCTATCTAGCCTATAACTTATACATACAAAGATATGTATAAGTTGACAAGTTCACCATCCCTTACTCGGGCGCCTGCTGCCACCGGCTTGGAAAGCCCTACCACGCCCTCGTCCTCCCTGCTTGCCACTGAAACGCCGGGCTGCCAGTCGACCTGACCTACCAGCATTGGCACTTGCCCTCAACAGCTCATCATCGTCGTCCTCCAACTCCTCCAAGTCCTGCACATCCTTTTCCTCCCCATCTCCATCCCCACGCCTCGCCTGCAGTGGCTGCAGCACAGCGTCCCCAAAGTCATCACCCAGGTCATCACCTCCAGGCAGAGTGCGGCGCACTGAGGGACCAAAGCACACAGCAGCAGCATGCACACACACATGGGGAGGCACGAATTTATCACACTGAGTGCAGCAGGACTTGAAAAGAGCCTTCAATGGGAAAGAGGCAGTCATGGCTTGAAACGACAACCTTAAACCCTCTCTCCCTCCCTCCCTCTGCGCCCTGTTCTAAATCCTAAACCTTATAGTATACTGGAGGAAGCCCAGAAGGGAATGGGGAATTCTATAAACGAGCGGGGAGGCATGGGGTGTGATATGAGGATGATGAGTAGGACAGGAGAGCAGAAACCAAATGCTCTAGCAACGTACCCGTGCTACTGCCTTGATTCATGCCCATTTTAGCAGAGCTGCCAGCACGTGCAGGAGCAGTGGCAGCGGAAGCAGCTACAGCGTGCTTTGAAGGACAATCGCGAGCAAGATGGGTCTTGAGTCCACAAATGCGGCAACACCCGCCCTGAGGGATGTAAGAAGTGCACAGCACCCACAAATGACAGGCTCAAAGAGGTGACGAGCCAACAACACAACGACGGCGTGACCAACATAGGGAAGCTCAAAATACATTACAAAGGTGAGGTAGGGGGCAGCAAAACTGGAACAAAAAGAAGCGAATCTATTCATCAAACTGACCTTGGGGTATAGGCCATTGGGGTTCTGTGGGCAGTCCCGACTGAGATGGCCCCTCTGCTGACACACGAAGCACACTGCATGCGCCGCTCCACCTGGAAGGCAGGGAGTCACGCACCACACAACATAGCATCACAGCCCAACACTTCGCGAGTCAGGCATGGATAGAGGAGTGCAGCGGGTTGGCAATACCTAGGAGTGAGAGATGCGCAGTAAGAAGCGCCCTGCGCAACCAACGAGGTCCGCTGCTTGTGCCCGCGTCAAGCAGCATGGCAGCCCAGCACCTGAACCCTGAACCCCGCTCGCACCATTGGCTCGCGGCAAAGGGCAGTTGTTCAGCCGATGGCGCGTGGAACCACAGTTGTAGCAAATCCCCACCCCCAGCCCGTCTGCGCCGCCCGCGCCCTTCTCTTCCTGTTCACGCCTTCCCCTCTGCGCTGCCGCGCCTCCCGCCTCCTCTCCAGCGGCGCCTGGCGACTGCGGCACAGCGGGTGCGGCCGCCGACGCAGCTCGCGGGCACTCGCTCACGACGTGGCCCCACTGGCGGCAGAAGAGACACGCCTGGCGCGACGCCGCGCATGCACGCACACGGAATAGCGCGGGACAGGGAAGGACGGAGTGATTCAGGTGAGGGGAGATGGAGGAAGGGAGGTGGGGTGAGAAGGTATGGAGTGGAGTAGGCATGGAGAGGCAAGAGGGAAACGGTGACAGTGGCACGGCCGCGACTGCTGACCTTGGCCACTTTGCGCTCCCGTCGTTTCGGGCAGTCCTTGGCGGCGTGGTCTGCTCCGCCGCACGAGAAGCACCGCTCGCCTGGCCGTTGCCCCGCCACTCGCATCGGGTGTTTCACCGTGCGCCGTCGCTTGCCTTCCCTCTCATCGCCCCCACGCCCACTCTCTGCTGGAGCCCGTTCCCCTGCCGCCTCGCCTGCCTCTGCGCTGTTCTCTCCGCGCCTGGCCGCCTTGCGCTGCGCCATCTTCTTCTTCAGCCGCACCAGCTTCGCCCGCTTCCGCGCCTGCGCTTTCTCACTCGACACCTTCTTGCCGCCCCCCTCCCTCGCGCCGTTCTCGCCCTGTGGCCCAGCATCGGCCGATACCCCTGCATCGACCATCTTCCCTTGCATCGGAAAAATACTAGCTTGGCTTTTGGCAGTTAAGGGTTGGGTAAGCTCGTTGAGGAGTTGGATGGCTCGTTGAGTCCCCAATAAAAGGAGCAGGGTTCTGCCCACATCACACCGTGTTCCCGACACACCCCTGTCAACGGTAGTGCACCACCAAGGGTGTGCGTGCGAGGATGACAAGAATTTCACTCAAGGGTCGCCGAACAAAAGACCACTGAGGATGCATTCTTAGCAGGTGGCATCCTACTTCGAGTCAAGATTCGACAGCCCAGATCAGGACAGTAGCTGTGTGTGTACATGACTTGGCTGTCAAAACTTCGTGTCAAAAGAGCGTGACTCTTGCTAGGAAAATTCACTTCAGTGCTTCTGACCGGAGGACAGAGTGACGAGGTCTGGTGGCTAGGATGGAGGGCAGCGAGCCAGGGCGAGGACCTCGGAACCAGGGCTTATGCTATCAGGGCATTTGCCCTGACTTGACTGAAATTATAAGGTAATGTTTAGACAAACCCTGATTTTCACCGGGTTGTATTTGACCCAGCTCTGACAAAATCCAGGAAGATCGTCAGGCGACCCTGGAAACTCCGAGAAGACTTTCAAGCGACCCTGATTTTTCCACTACCTGCACTCTCCCTCCCCCAGCGCCCCTCCCTCCCCTCACCCCTTATCTCGCACACTCCTAATACCCGTCACTCTTCTAGGACCTGGCTACCAAGCAACTTGTTGGGGAGGATTACTCCCTCATACCCCTAGAACACACACGAATCCAATGTGACACAGAGCTTGGAACAACCTCAAGTAAAATCCGTGAAAATGTGCGCTCGCCGAGCATTTTTTCGGCTGGCCCTGAAAAAACAGAGCAGTATAGCTTCGGAACCTGGATTTTCAGGGTGAAATTTGAAGGGAGCTCTGAGCGTCAGAACTGTTCAAAAACCAAACATAAGCCCTGCTCGGAACGTGAGGTGGCTAAGAGGAGTGGGAAGGTTCTATGGGCGCGATTCGGAAAGGTTCGGAAAGGATTCGGACAGAGTTCTGCAGGCAGGTGGGGGGGTTGTGGCGGAGGAGGGATTCAGGAAGGAGCGCATGCCATTTCGCATGTAGTGGTAACCACCCAAGCCATATTGGGCTTTCCCATACCAGGGTGTGAAGCTGCGCAGGCAAATTGGGGAAATCGTGCAAGTGGTGTCGACAAGGGCAAGGCTACCCCGATTCCACGGCGTCCCCCTGCGATTTGGTGGAGTCCACTTGGAGGGGCTGCCGAGTCTACAGTTGCCTGGGGGCGAATCTGCCCCTGGAGCTTCATGGACTCAACCTCCACGATGAAGTGGGTGCGTTCTGCAGACAACGGTACTCTTCTACGTTTAGACAGCTCGAGGATGGTTTGGCATGCTTTTGCGGGCTGACCCATACTCCGGACCAAAAAATACGCTGATGCGGAATCTTCCGAACGTGATATGGAACCTTAAAAATTTGCCAGCAGAACACAGCCTGCGTAGGCCGAACCATCAAGGCGAGGCTTTCGGGCGTTCGCACTGTAATGCGCTACTAGCTTGCTGTTATGAGTGATAAACCAGAGTAGCGCGGAATCGAATAGTGAAATTATGAATAACATAATGCAGGTACAATGATATGTCAAAGCAAAATATAGGAACACCAGAGAAATGCGAGCCGTGTGATGCATAGGTTTGGGGAAGCGGATCGCTTCGGAGTGACGCGGAAGTGGTTCGGATTGACATGTACGGGACGGAGCTGGGGCCGAGTCCCGTGACGTGTACGGATGAAGTATGCTCTAGTAGTGTGGTGCGCTAAGGAATGGAAATTTCTTATACTACCCCCCTCTTAGCGAAGGTGGTCAATATCTGCGATGTGCTTACGGGATAAATAATCCGGAAGTACAGAAGGCGATTGTACAAGTACCGAAGGTGTCAAAATGAGCTAGCTAAGAAGTGACTACCAGAATAATTGAATAACGGTAAAGTGAGAGTACACACAAATATATCTAAGTTAAGTATCCTCTAAGAGGTGACTCTATACAGTCTATACAAACATGACAAATACACATGTTTGACACACCCCCTAGACTGCATAGGGGAATACCATAAACAAGCAGCTCAGGGCGGCACTACTAGTCCAACCTCTGAGGCAAGGGTCTGAGCGACCGGTCAGAAGGAGTACAGACAAGGCAAGCACAAGAGCAGGGCGGCACTACTAGTCCAGCCACTGGGAGAGGACACAAGTCCAGTCTGAGTATACATATAAAGGACAGTACAAAGTCAAGGTCCTAGCAAGTGAGAGGCTACAGGAACTAGACCAAGCTGTACACAGTGCCGCTGATGATCTTTAGGCGCAAGCGCCTTCGTAAAGATATCAGCCGTGTTGGCACCTGAGGCCAAGTGTACTACGCGAGCCTGACGTCGCTGCTGTAGCTCACGCAGGAGGAAGTACCGCAGCTGAATGTGCTTCGCTCTGCCCTCGAGTTGAGGCTCCTGACACAGGAGGATCATGGCCCTGTTGTCAGCGAACAGGACCGGGGCAGAGCTAGGTCGCTCACCTAAGTCAGTGAGCAAGAAGGTCAGCCAGCGGAGCTCCTGTGCCGCCATGGCACCGGCGTAGATCTCAGCCTCACAGCTGGACTGTACAACAGACGAGGAGCGAGTAGCTCTCCACGAGACGGCACCTGAGCCAAGGCTGAAGCAGTAGCCCTGGGTAGACCGGAGTGTCTCAGCGTCGTCTGCCCACGAAGCGTCTGTGTGCCCAGTAAGGACCGCTGGCCTGCGTCCTCCTAGCACTAACCCCATGCCCGATGTACTAGCAAGATAACGCAGAACCCTCTTAGCGGCAGACCAGTGCTGCGGTCGGTGTCTGCCTGTGGCCACAAAGCGAGCCATGATGCTGAGAGGGTATGCGAGATCTGGGCGAGTGCAAGTCATCAGGTACATGAGGCAACCCACCAGCTCTGCGTAGGGGCCGCTGGGCTCTACCAACTCCTCAGGCACTGGAGCGGAGAGCCTGTGGTCTACAGGCAGAGGGGTGGGCTGTGCAGAGGAGAACTGAAGGCTGAACCTCTGAAGGACCTGGCGCACCAAGTGTGACTGAGTCAGGGTGATGGTGCGCGCAGCTCTGTCCCTGGAGATCTGCAAGCCAAGGTAACGGCGCAGTTCTCCAAGGTCAGTGCAGGTGTGTCTCTTTAGCAGCTCTGCCTTCACGGAGGCCAGCGCGTCCCTGTCTGCTGTGGCAAAGACCAGGTCGTCGACGTAAACGAGGATGTAGAACGGAGTCTGGCCAGCACGAACGAAGAGTGAAGGGTCTGCAGAAGACGGAAAGAACTGCAGGTCAGCAAGCGTAGCACGCAGAGTGTCGTGCCACTTACGGGGAGCCTGGCGCAGGCCGTAGACGGGGCGCCGCAGGAGCCACTGGGTCCCAGGAGGGAAGGTGCCAGTAAAGCCCGGAGGGCGGCGCAGGTAGACCTGCTTGTGTAGGCTGCCCTGAAGGAAGGCAGTGGAGAAGTCGAGGGAGTGAAGCTCGTAGTCACGCTGAGCAGCTAGGTGTAACAGAACCCGAAGAGTAGTCATCTTCGGGGTCGGAGCGAAAGTCTGGAAGAAGTCCACCCCCTCGCGCTGACTGAAGCCTCTAGCCACATAGCGCGCCTTGAAGACAGGCGGCTCTCCAGGAGGGCGCTTCACCTTGAAGAGCCAGCGGCCATCGACTACGTTCACCCCAGGTGGGGGAACTGCGTCGACGAAGGTGCCGGTGGATCTCCAAGATGCCATCTCCTGCTCCATGGCAGCTATCCACTGCGAGGTCCAGGGTCCCGAAGTCGCCTCAGCGTAAGTGCGAGGGGTCGGGATGTCGAAAGCGTCTGGGTCACCCTCAGGGACTAGCAGCATGGAACAGAGATGGGGAGCAGCCTCGGAGAGGAAAGCAAGCTCGAACTGGCGGTCCTCCAGGACGTCACTGCCAAGGGCAGGAGCACCCCCGACAGACGGAGGACAGGCAGGGTCAGAGACCAGAGCGGTGGCGTAGTCAAGGCGGCGGGTAGAGGCGAAGTCAGCGACAGCAGCGACAAGAGCGTCAAGGCACGAGACCGGAACAGACGGGTCGGTAACGAGAGAGGCAAGGACCCGAGGAACGAGAGGACGAGCGGCACGAAGGTAGTCGGACAGCGGGGGGGGCGCAACAACAAGGGAGGACGGAGGAGGCGACGGCAGAAGGGGAGGACGAGACGCGTGTGAACGAAGCAACATAGGGTGGGAGCGCAGGACAGGCGAGGCAGGACGAGCACGGGAGGGACGGTGAGACCAGACGTGCGATGGAGGAGTCGGGTCAGGAGACAGGGGAGGGGACACAGGAGGGGAACGAGGGGGGAGACGGGCCGGGGACGAGTCCGGCGGAGGGAAAACAGGGCCGTAGACAGGAAGAGGAGGAGACGGTCGGGGAGGAACCGACGCAGGGTCGGGGGACGGAAGGCCGAGCAGGCGAAGGGCGGACACCGGCGGGGACTGCTGCTGCGGCGGCACAACGGCGACACGTGGACCGCAAGCTGCTCCTCGGCTACCACCGTCACTCTCCACACCCGCACCCCCAGAGGGACCACCCTCAGGGCGACCGGGACGAGCACCCCCAGAGTCAGCGAACGGGGGCTGCGACTGCGGCGGTGACGGCGACGGCGACGGCTGCAGTGGCGGCAGGGACGGCGGAGGAGGGGACTGGGGAGGGGACACCTGGGGAGGGGCGGCCGGCGAGGACTGCACCGGAGGGCCACCAGAGTCAGAAGACTCCTCAACCGGGTCCACGGACGGAAGGGGGGTGACATGGGAGACACCAGAGGGGGCGGGACGGGGAGGAGGAGGAGGAGGGGCAGGGACTACCGGGGAAGGGGTGACCAGGAACAGGGGGGGGTAACCGGGGGACCACGGTGGGGGAAGCAGCGGTAGTAGGAGACGGACTCGTCAAAGGTGACGTCACGAGAGTGAAAGAAGCGGTGAGACGGCGGGTGGTAAAAGTGCCAGTCGGACGCGTCAAGGGGAAAACCGAGGAAGACGCAGGGAAGGGTGCGGGCAGTGAGCTTGTCCGTGCCGGAGGCACGGACGTGAGCAAGGCAGCCCCAGACGTGGAACGCAGACGCGTCACCAGGAGACCCAGTCCACAGA